ACAGGAAAATGAATGTTGTAAAGTGTGCAGCCTTGAAGTTGTTTCGAGTAAAGAGCACAAATGTAACGGTAAAGCACACTGTCGAAACTGTGGTAGGGATCACCATTATTTTGAAAGTTCTTGCCCAGATTTAATTCAGTACCGTAGAACACTGATGACTCATTTGATCGATAGAAATCTTGTTTCTTCTCAGTGTCATATACCCAGAGAATTTCGTTCGCGTGTTGCGCAGATTAAGCCGGTGTCTCTTGATGAAACACAACAGACCGTTTCTTCATTTGTTTCTCGTGGAGTACCTCCTTTGGTGCCGTTAGTTGATTCGTTTGCTTCTGTAGTAGCCGGCAACTTCTGGGTTTGCCGTCGCGACCTCGAGATCCAGATCAATCTCAACCACCATCGACGAATCCAGTATCAAGTAATTGTAGTTCATTCGATTCACTAGGTTCCTTATCCGACCGGTTGAACGCACTGCATTTGGAAACGACCCGGCACTTAACATCGATTAGTGAGCAAGTTGCACAGACGAATATCATGATACAGTGCACACAAATAAAAGTTGATGAGTTATCGCAGGTCGTTTCGAATATTGTTGTTCCCACCATAAATCAGTTATCATCGATATTGTTGAAAGTTGTAACCGGCCAAGGTCAAATAAGTAACGCGGAGGTGTCGGTCATTCAAAACATTCCATCTCAATTGAATGAGTCAGTTTTGCGGGCACAAACTTGTATCTCAAAAATTTCGGAGGTGGCGTCGCGCGTTCTCAGTGAGAGACAGTTTGGGAGAGTCCTCTGTCCATCGTACAACAATTCATATCCTTCCCAATGGCGTGAAATCCTTCATCAGATCCGTTTGTATTTTTCGATTCATACGTTGATTCGATTGTTTCTCAGATTTTTTCTTTATGTGAAGGTGATCATGTTTTATTATCGACCGTGCTTGAGGAATTGAATTCGAAAAGCACCATTTCATCGCTGATCTCAAACTGGAAAACGACTAACCAGTCCCCTCCTCCAAATCCGAAACCCTTCACAGCCATTCATTATAACGTACAAGGATTATCATCGAGACTGTCTGAAGTGCAGTATTTAATTGACCTTAAACAACCAACAGTTGTGGTCTGCACTGAAATAGGAAATACATTGCCAAAATCACTATCCACCTGGTTTCCTTCACATCGCAAGTATGCGACGACGGATCGTAACGCACATGGAGGTGTATTAATTTTGGTTCACACGTCGGTCACGTCAAAACAGGTACACTCACACACAGATATATTGACGGTGTCCGTATCGTTGGGCTGTTGTTCTCTCACGGTCATTGGAGTCTATAGTCCTCGATCATCTCGATTGCCAATTGGCGAATTAAGGACACAGTTTACGGCTGCCGCAAAGATGACTCCAAGATCTCCGGTTTTGCTTATGGGAGATCTCAACGCTTGTTCAATCAGTTGGGGATGTAAAGCGTCCGATAGTAGAGGAAACAAATTCGAGGCACTTTGTGAGGAATTTGATCTAGCTGTGGAGAATCCGATGGACCCACGTCCAAAAGGTCAGACAACATTATTGATCTAATCTGCTGCTGTGACAAGATTGGAACTGTTCCGAACTGTGATTATGATATTTCTTTAAATTTAGACTGTTATAATATACATAAATTGACTTACGGGGGAACGTTTCCAACTGTCCAATCACTTTTCGCTTGGTACTACTGCGATTCGATCGGTCTTGGTGAGCAGTGAAAATGTCTATTTTGGTTCGGTTTTCCGATCTTCTTTTTTCGAGTTATGGGCGTCTTACTGGATATCAGACCTATGAGCACAGGCCTCAGAATGACTGAATAACCGAATTTTGAACTGAAATGTTGCCCATAGATGTGCCTTATAGTCACTAGAAAGTCCTCAAAGCTTGAGCCAGAACGAATGTATTCTCACCAAGTTATCAGCTGGTCATGAAAAATTCCTGTTTTGAAAAACAGGCGTTTCTTTAAAGTATGAATATTTCGGTAAGGATTCATTCGTTCTGGCTCAAACTTTGAGGACTTTCTACTGACTGTAAGCCATATTTATGAGCAAAATTTCCGCTCCGTATAAAATCGAGAAAATTGAAATTTGTGGCTAAAATTGAATGCTCTTTCTAACCCAAATATCAAAATCGAGAAAAAAAAATGTTTCACCGGTCGCGATATTCGGTGGTCTCACGGAACGTGTCCTAAAGTTGAATATTTGAGCTCTTTTAAGCGCTGAAATCATAAGTAATATAAGCGCCGGAAAGTGCGCATTTTAAGCGTCCGAAAAGCACTTAAAATTGAATATGTAAGCACTTTCAAGGGCTGAAATCATAAGTAATACAGACATTTTTTGTTTTTTGCAAGTCTAGTTTTCGAAAAGAATCATAATTTTTAATTTCGACCTGAAACTTTGTTTTAGACGAAGAACTTAATGAGACTATCTCATATATAAAGTTTCATCTGTTTCGAATTTCTCAAAATATCTGTATTTTACACACAACAGTTAGCGAAGAATGCATATATTGTGAAAAACTCATATCTTGACAATTTGATGCTTGCAAAGCGAATATGTCATCTTTCGACGAATATCTCTCAAGCTCAAGGGAGCCTACCGCGACTTATTTTTTGAAATTTATTTCTTCTGTTGGATTTATTAAACGTATCAAGATTTTCGCGCACCATCACTCGAGTGCTCCCCCTCGCCTGTGTCTCCGGCCTCACCTTCACCGGAGGTTACGCCCTCACCCTCAAGATTGTCCGGGATTTATTCCAAAATGTGTAGGGATTTTTTTAATAAATCCCAGAAAAATAAGTCCCGGTAGTTGCTGAAGCTCAAGGCAGGCTCGCAAAAGAAGAAGGCACCGAAGACATTGGCTATGCAGGACAAATCGATAATCTGGAGAATCCCTTCTACAACGATGACATCGATCGCACGAGTTTCTCGAGGGACTCTCACTAATGGTCGCTCCAAAGAAATAAACTTCTTATCACACTGTTTCTCACATCCTTACTTTTTCTACTTGTTGTGTCGTCTATGATAAATAAATTTCAAATAAATGTTTTCCTTATTTTTCCTTCTCCGGATTTTTCCTTTTGAGGATTTATTTTTTCCCGGATTTCTTGACAATACCAAGGATGGCGCAGGAATCTGAAACTATAACGTTTTGCGTAAAGACATTGAATATTGTTAGAATTATACAGAGATCGACACCCTAATTTCATCTGGGTATTCCGAAGTCAAATACGATAGATTTACGATAGAACACAACAAAATTAGTTTATGATTCTGTTCTCGTAGCTCCCTTCAGTGTCCAGAGGATCAAAAAATTGGTTGACAGTTCCAGAGAAGTTCAATAAGGCAGTCAATCGAGGATCATGTGCTGATATATACTGGATAAAAACTTATTTCATACCTATTTATCTTAGTCATTTCCAAGTTCGAGATTCGAAATTCATTAAAACAACAAAAAAGAAATACTGTGGAATGTACTTAGGGTAATCTAAAAACCTGAGTCCTTGCATTGTGATCGTCAAGATTTGGCCCAGATCTTGACGGAAACCTGATAAAATCTTGGCAGAATCCTCTCTTATAATCGTGTGTTACTAGGATCTTGAGTAAATCCTGGTAGGATCCTGTATCCTCAACTCAGAAAAAAATCTGAGCAGGAACTTGAAGAAATCCTGAACAGGATCCTGTTTAAGAGCCATTATCCGATAGACTTAGACAGACAGTGAGTGTTGATGTCACCGATTTACATGGGATTTATGCCACTTGTAGGTCTATATGTAACTAGATAATCATTTTAATAACATCATTCAAAATTCATTCGTTCTCGAATTACAGAGAGGACAAGAG